AGCTCAGTGGTGTAGTGATTAAGTGCTCGCGTGCGAAACCAGTAGGTTCCGGGTTCGAATCTCGCAGGGGGCGAGGTCGTGGATGCGGACTGCTGAGGAGTCCCACGATGGGACGGAACGGCGATCCAGTGTTCCCATATTTTCCATGATGGTCTAGCTTCAACTGACTCATGATCTTAACCATTGAAACTAATATAATATCCACAACACCCACCTGATATTAAATAAATATTACTTAAGTAGTAATGAAGGGATAAATGGGAAAAAAATTGGTCTGTTTGATCCATTAATTATTTCTTAACCAAATATCATGGAATTCAATAAAACGATATCAATTTCTTGGTTTAATTAAGATTTAATATAAGATACTTAAAGAGAGTTCTAAAAGAAATCAGGAAAATAAAAAAGATTTACTGTCATAATAAAGATATATATATATTATTGTTAAATAAGATAAAATGGAATAAATAAGTTCTTCTATTGCACAAACAACAACAAATGCAGGAGAAGACGACCAGTGTAGTAACAGCCTCAACAGCAGTAGGTTTCAATATACACAAAGGGAAAAACAAGATTTCCCGATACAACAAAGCATGCATCAATCAAATCAAACTTGAAGGACAAGATTTGGAAGACGCATAAACCGTTACATATCTGGGCAGCATCATTGATGAACACGGTGGATCTGATGCAGATGTGAATGCGTGGATCGGTAAAGCAAGAGCAACATATCGACAATTAAAGAATATCCCAAACTCAAAACAACTGTCTGTCAACCAACACCAAAATCAGGATTTTCAATACAAATGTCAAGACAATACTACTACGAAAGCCATCATCCACATGATACAGGTGTTTATTAACAGTTAGCTATGCAAAATACTTTGGATCCATTGGCTAGACACTATCAGCAGCAACCTAGTGTGGGAGAGAACAAACGAGATTCCAGTGGAGGAAGAAATCAGGAAGATGCACTGGAAGTGGATAGGACACACATTGAGGAAAGCACCCAACTGCATCACAATGCAAGCACTGACTTGGAATCCTCAAGGACAAAGGAGAAGTGGAAGACCAAAGAATACATTACGTCGATAAATGGAGACAGACATAAGAAGAATGAACAAGGATAGTATAGAATTAGAAAGGAAGGTCCAGGATAGAGTGTGTTGGAGAATGCTGATCGTCAGCCTATGCTCGATTGTGGAGATGAACCAAAAGAATGATCATTATATTTGCAGCATGTTTTTAAGTATACTGTTAGTTAATCACCATAAAAGTTTGAATTTCATTGAAACAGTTGATGCTGGCTAGCAATGGAATCCAAGAAGTGAGTCCCGTTCCATGTAGGACTCGTCATCTGGATGTACCCGCATCACGGACTTGGTGTTCATTTCAGGACTCGAACCCACTACCGTTCACTTCGAAAATCATCATATTATCCACTTAGCTACTTAGTCCAAATAGCTGCTAGCTTTTACATTGGGGTGAATTTTAATTTATTACTGACCGAAATGAGGACGGAATGTGCGTCCTGGATTCCACTGCTAGCCACCATCCATCTCTGTTTGTGAATTAAAGTAATATCGAGGAAATCCGCACAGGATACCAAAAAAAAGACTTATCAATTTCAGTCCTAACCATCAATGAGAAGATTCAAATAAGCAATACAAAAAAATAAATCATAAATTTCGTCATTGTATTTCAATCAAATAACTGTTGTGACTTTAAATCCAGTTTATTATCATGTGATTTATTCATCAATCGAAATGTGACTTATTCAATCTTAGTACTATGCCAAATCAATGACGTTTGACAGGCATGAACAGCCTAGTTGCCCTATTGGTCCTTCGTTCGCCTAGTTCGTCCAGTTGAGTCCAGAATACCAATAACAGATCCCACTATGCGAATCATTTATTTCAAAAATACTTGGTTTATATTACCAACCAAACAGACCTCATCACACCATAAATTAGGAAATAACATTTATACATGGTCAAGCCAAAATGTAGCTGTGAATATGGGAGACTGTAATCAATAAACTTGATATAACTTAAGAATAGTAAATCGTATAATAACGATTGCTTGATCGATTGACTGATAAGTTGTTGTTATTGTTGGGGCTTTTTCATTAAATCACATTAATATTACTTATTGATGAGTAAATATACACTGAGAAAACAGTAGTTAGTTGTGTTAATTGTAAATCATTTGATAATTGAGTTGAATGTAAATAAGTTATATGTATAGATGTATAATATGGCCTTTTTCATAAGTTCCAATGATGTTAGTGACTCTGCTTCGTTAACCAATCACTCTCGTGACCTTTATTATATAAACCACAATGGTGTTTGAAATCAGAAGGCAAAGAGAAGCAGCAACTACAGTTTATTAACGGATAGAACAGATCACAAAGCTATAAGGCACATCAAGCAAATTTGAAGAGGAGAGTATGTGCGAGTAATTGCATAGGAAAATTTATAGTCAAATTGCATAAAAGCACAGCAAGGCAAAAAAAGGACTAATAATAGTATTTGAGCACAAATATACATGGGGAGGAGGATGAATCACTAAGTGGTATTTAATCAATCAATACTTTGGCTAGAGTCTATCATATGATCTAGTGAACATGACGGTACAAATAAATATGGGAATTGTTACTATTCCAATGACATTGTCTGTTAAATAAGTCAATCAAAAGGGCTTAACCAAAATTAAGCATAATCGAAATTGGTTATAGGATAGAGTAAAGTATTTCATAATAAATTCTTATACATGTAAAATTATAAATAACAACAATTTAATGGGACTAATAATTCAAAAACATTACTGAATTACGCCCGTTACCCCTCGTGGAGGAGTATAGGCCGCCCATCACTACTCTTTATCCAACTTTGTCCTGGACAATCTTTTCCAGTTGCTATTCGTCACTTTTCACGGCTGCTTCCAATTTCTGACATGATGTGTTCTACGTCGGAGTCTAGGTCAATTCAAAAATTCCATTTATAAATATTTAATTTGTAATACATACATTAGAATTACACAGAGAATGGTACATATTCGTATTCCTGATGATGTTCTACATAGAAATTGAAACTTAGAGATGAATTAACTCTAAATTGTATAATAACTCTGTATTTTTCAAATTATGATCATCAGAAAAAATAACGCAACTTTTCTTTAGTTTTTGTCATAGCGATAACAATCAAAAGATTCAAACCAAATTAATCTGTAATGGAAATAGACAGTAATCAACTTATCACTACTACCTTGTTTAATTCATTACTTTAACTAATATAACTTGCAATTATCACTTTGTGATGTAATCATTATTACTATTTTTTTATCGTATTTGTTTTGTTATTGAATCCTCAGTAAACTAATTTCTATTCTATATACACCAAGTTATTCTTTCATTCACCTGTTCAACACTCATCTGATTCTCTAAAATTTTGTAAAGTATTTAAATCGTTTATGTTTATTATCAGTCAGTCAGTCAGTAACAACGTAGAACTTCGTACGTACATCAGCTCGAATTGCCATACCACATTAGCACAGAGATGCAGTTGTCGATTCAAATCCCGTAGTGGTAGAGGCGGTAATCGTATAAGCAGTAATCGGAAAGATTAGGGTTTGAAGATGTTATTTAAGGAATACAATACAGTGAAATAAATTTGGAAAGAGAAAAAAAGAGACAATGAGGAATCAGGAGATTAGAAATTGGGAGAACATAAAGAGTGGATGCATTATGTTTATTATGTAATCCATTGTATCAATAACCGCTTCATTGTTCTAAATATGCTATATATATATATTTCAAGTGGTCTTCAACTGGTTTATCTTTCATTTTGTTCATTTGTTTGTTTTTAAACCTTTGCGTTGTCAGTATTAACGAATGAAATTCAACCAATCTTTTCTTAAACATATCCATCCTCAGAGGATTGCGTTGATATACATACTAAGTCAATATTTTTTTTTATTTTTATTGAAAATGAACAGTGAATAGAAATGTAATCCAGGCTCTCGTATAGCCCTATATGCAACTCATCTAGTGGATACCGCTGTATCTTAGTATTAGTGTTCACTTAACAACTGGAAGATTCCAAAACTTACCAATAAAAATAATAAAATGTATTCCCGTTGCAAAACCTAGTGTCTAGTTGAACTTAACAGTTTAATCAATAATTTATTGGACATTTAAAATGTAAGGTGCTGAGTTCACATCTTGATATGAACATAAACAATGGGATGTGTTACATTCATCCGGCTAATGTGTTGTATATGAGATAAAACTTGCTCCTTGGATTTTAATGCTAGCTGTTATCAGCATCGAAAACCTAGAATTACTGGACAACCGTTTCGTCCCAATATGGTACTCCTCAACAGTGTCCATATACACGGTCGTCCAGTATTTCTAGGTTTTCAGTAGTGGTCTAGAATAGATTAACTGATGAATTCAACTGTTAAGATTATTACAATCCCCTTGATTCCTACGTAATCTCATATGTTATTTAGTCTTAAATTCATTCATGAAGTAATCTTTTCTGTCCTCCTATAGACCTATATTTTCGAGAAAAACGATCACTGATATATGTCAGTCAGTCAGTTACATGCATCGGTTCAAGTTGCCACATCTCATTAGCACAGTAAGACGAAAACTGGATTCATAGAAGCAGCTAACTCAGTGGTGTAATATATAAAGGAAAGATTGCATAAAAAGATATAGAACAGGAAGAGACAATTAGTTCGTAGAAAGAAAGATTTGAAATAATTTTAGTTTCATAGTTTAAGGGAAGACAAAGAGTGTATACACATACACCATTTTGATCGATTCTGAGACATGTCACCCACAGTCTCCAACCACTGGTTACGATAGGCACTCGAACCTCAACCAAGTAGTCTGCATCTATCAACATGGCTCAGAATATATATATATACACATATATATATATATAATTAATAACTAATATATTCCTATTTACTTTCTTTCATTTACTTAATAGAAGCAAATCCTGAAAAATTCAATAGTCGTTTAAAAAATAAATTATTTTACGCTGGAGTAAGTTCAATACATGATGTTACCATGTAATTCTATTTTGAAATTTTATAGATTATTTTGCTTACATTTATACTACACAATTCAATAAGATTGAAAGGGATAAACAATTGTTCTAAATTGACATTCGTATAATAATGTTCATGTTATATTTACAGCTTAGATTCTTGATATACTATGTACCACCCCCGGGTGAGCTCGAACCACCAACCTTTCGGTTAACAGCCGAACGCACTAACCGGTTGCGCCATGGAGGCCCATCTTGTATCAATATTTATGTGTTCAAATAAATGTAAATAAAAAAATAGTATGTACAACTTGAACAGTCGAATGTAAGAACCCTCCAACTTTCATATATGGTACAAAACTATCAGGTATTTATAGTTTTTAGTAAAATTGAAATTATCATTATAATCATCCGATCCGTATACAAGTGGGGATTTTAGCATTTGCCCATTAGGGAAAATTATACGTACAGATTCTGGAATTTTCTTCCAAAAGATGCTTTGATAGAATATTTCCAGTTCTTTATGAGCTTCTTACAGCTTCCTCGATTTCACCAATTGGCCATCCTCACAATTCAGTTAATTAAAGTATCTTAATCAGAAATGCTGTAACATAGTATAATTGAATAAATGTGATCACAGATGACGTATCATACAAGTTTATTAATATATTGAAAGTTTATTCCAATATAGCGTTATGTTAAAAACAACTATTTTGTTATTTGACAAAGAATTGGCGAAACAGCTATTCAGTGTTTCCATGGTCATCTAGCTTCAATTGATTCATGATCTCAACTATTAAAAAGAAATATTAGTTTGTTTTTATTTTCGTAAACTTAAATGTATTTCTTATGTACCAGTCGGTGTTGATAACAACAAGACTAGGTTTATCTTAACTTAGGAATTCTCAAAGTACTTCAGGATAATCATGTTCATAATTAATTTAGTAAAATATTATTATGTAATGTTTCAATCCACAGTTTTATTGTTAATTCTTAATCTCTTCATATGATCATCTTCGTATACTTCAATAAGAAATCAACCTGAGATTAATTAACTAATTTTAACTTTTATAAGCAAAGATGGATAGTGGCTAGCAGTGGAATCCAGGACGCGTGTTTCGTCCTGTTTGGGGCTCGTCAGCTGGATGTACCTGCATCTCAGAGTTGATGTTCACTCTGGGACTCGAACTCAGTACCGTTCACTTCAAACGCCATCGCGTTATCCACTTAGCTACTGAGTCCTGATAGCCACTTGCTTGTGCAATGGGTTGAAGTTTAATTCACTTGATATTGTTTTACTTGAATCTTCCCATTGATGTTTTTGGACTGAAATTGATCAGTCTCTTATTGGCATATGTGCATACTGTGCGTATGCCTCGATATTGCCTTAATTTACAAGCATTATAAGCAAAGATGGATAGTGGCTAGCAGTGGAATCAAGGACGCACGTTTCATCCTGTTTGGGACTCGTCAGCTGGATGTACCTGCATCTCAGAGTTGATGTTCACTCTGGGACTCGAACTCAGTACCGTTCGCTTCAAAAGAGACTGATCAATTTCAGTCCAAAAACATCAATGGGAAGATTCAAGTGAAACAATATCAAGTGAATTAATTTTAACTTTGTTTCACTGTCAAAAGTTAAACACGGATATATGTATGCCAGATGGTTGATTTAAGTAGAGTTTTGTTCTCTGAGTTGGATAGTATGATCATACAGCTTTCATTATTCTTCTGAACAACGTCATTAACACAAACTCCAGGTAGAAATGAAGTGTTCCAGTCTCTTTACATATGACTCATACATTGTCTTGTCGACCTCGATCATAATTGGTTATGGTTGACCTTTAACCTTTCATTGTCTACCTCTTCATTTTGGTTGTGTCTTCACACGAAAGTTAAATGCATTTCAACTGTTTCACATAATCAAATCACTTAGTTTCTAATTATGTATCAGCGCACTAAAAAATGTCTTGACCAAAGCCAAAGGTTGAACATAACAATTTCAAATAAATTGAACATTGAGTGGAAAGCTAATAATAAATATATAGTTTTGTCATATATAAATGAGTAGAAAATTGTATCTCTGATGTTTCGCGATTTAATGTAAGTCACTTCTTCAGAGTTAATAAATAACCAAATTAAATTAACACAAGTTTAAATAGTACAGTTCCTTTGTTATAATAAAAAAAATATATTTATTATCATTCCTAACCAAAGTACAGTGTTTATTACTTTTTCTTCTTGTCATCATTATTATTTCTAAACGTTGTCATTGTCTAGGATTTCAATGGATCCTTTATTCTAACTTGATAGGAAAAGATACACATAACATACAAACTAAAATCGATTCATCCAATATTCTGTAGATGCTTTGGAAGAAATAACATAGCTGTTTTTCTAAATAAATAACTCAGTTTCTAACAGTGCTGGTCATAGATAACAGAAACTTTGTATAGCCCAAACAGCTGGTTGATATTTTAAATTGTGAAAAGGTGCGATTCTAGTTCATATACTATAGATTTTATCAGTTATCATAATGATTAGTGCCAGACATTATTGACGAGTACTAAATGATAAAGATTACCTGTCGGCTAATTTCGATCACTTAATAAAGAGCCCTAAATTTTTCGCAGTTTCAATATAAACGTCAAAGTGTAGTTAAGCTAAGATGATTTGTCTCAGTATTGAGTGCTTTTAGAGGTATGACGGCGGTTAGCACTTCCCGGTTACCTGAAAAGGAAATTGGGTTAGAGGTAGTGTTGGTGACCTGAAAGCTTGACCTCTGTGCCAAAGGGACAACTACTTGAGGCATTTTGTGGGTAATTTTTGTTTTAGCTCGTACTTGTTGGGACCTTACCGCGGGAGACGGAAATCCGTGGGATAAGTCGAGGAGTGTATTTTTAGGGTCAATCTTTTCTAACCCCACCCTTCTTTTGTCGGAAGGCAGTATTGCTGTTATGCTGGTTGTGTGAAGAAAACACCTTAATGCCATTAAACCTTTGTATAGTCAGCAGCACAACTTTTCTCTCGGACCTAGGGTTTGCTTCCTTTTAGTTTTACCGTTCTTCAATCAATCTACCTGGCGTGGTATGATCTTGAGAAACAATTATCCCAGGTAGTATGTGTTATATCCTAGTGAAGATTAAATTAAGGGTATTCTCAGAGACCCTTTTAATGGACTAATATTCTATATTCTTATTGTATAACTATTCAGTAACTGGATTATCTATATCTATATCCCTCTTATTATAAGGTTCATTCTGACCTATAGATTATTATTGTAAGATTTACTGTTCTTAAGCTATGTTCAGTTTATTGACTACTGCCTCCCACGTTCTTAGCCACCTTTGGTTATATTTTGTACGGGTGTCATTTTATATTTTATGGTGCGTTGTGATCTCTTTGGTTGACATATAAACCCAGCATGTCTGAGATAAAAGGATTCGCATAGTGGAGGCTGTTATTGGCATTCTGAACTCAACTGGACAGGTTAGACGAGCACAGGACCAATAGGAGGCTAGTCTGATCAGACCAGTCGGTCATCATTAGTTTAGTACAGTACACAAGCGAATAAGTCGTATTTTCATTAGAATACATGATAACTAGCTGGTTATAAAGTCACAAACAGTATGATTGGATTAGTTCATCACGATAAGCAAGTCAAACTAACATTTCAACAATAACAGTAACAGTCGAAGCTATCTACAACTGGTTTTTATTTTGTAACCTCATTATTATTCAAGAAAACTTTTAAAAACACATCAATGTGTAACTTCAAATTGAAATACTTTACTCATTCCATAATAACTTAGTAATTGTCTGAAATTTACTCGAAAATATGAATGATACACATCTGTTTTATACCTACATCATTGCGAATATTAATTCGTTAATTGAATAAATCATATCTAGTATGAACATATTGTAGATCAAATCTACCGGAGTCTTCATTAATCTTTTTTTCTTTTTTCTTTTTATCTAAAATGAAGAGGAAAAGAGATTGTTTAAATAGTTATCAGTATAGAGGTTGTGTAGATTATTAAGTTTTTGATTGAGATCATGAAACGATTGATGTTAGACCACCATTAAAAGCCTGGAAACACTGGATGGCCTTTTCGTTCTATTATGGGATTCTTCCTAGGCAGTGCTCATCCACAATCCCTCTCGCGGGATCCAAACCCAAATCTTTCAGTCTCAAGCGCGAACGCTTAACCTACTGGACCACTGAGCCACAATAGGACGAAACGGGCGTCCATTGCTTCCAGGTTTTCAATGGTGGTCTAAAATCAATCGATTCATGGTTTCACTCAAGAAAATATTAAAATATTAATTTTTTGTTTACATGGTTTTTTTAGCTTGGTGGTAAAGATCTACTTCGACGAAGTTGGCGTGATCTATCGGAACATATTACACTTATTGTAAGTTTATAGTTAATATTAGTTTAATTGACATTATTATCACATTTAAAGAAGAATTTTGGTAAGACTATGAATTATGGATGACCATTTGAGCGACACTTAAGTGACCTTGAGAGTGTTCACCTAGTAACTAGGACTAAATGAGGGTTGAAAACAAATGTGATGAATTAGAATTATGATTTACAGTTGATAGTTAAAGTAAGGAATTAGATTTAGGTTTTTTATCATGAACTGATATCAGCTATAATGCTGAAACTTTATTTAATCAAATGGATGAGTGAATTTTGCGCCAAAAATTCGAGACGTATTATGATGTGTCTGATTGGTTCGGCCATAAATTGTAGTTTCTTCATAATCTTCATTGGAACACTAGTAAATGAGTATAATTACTGGTGTATTAATAAGAAGAGACTTATTAAATGAAGTTCAACAGATTAAGAGGTACACATAAGAATTTGTGTATATTTAAATTTGATATTCTAGACGGAACGGAGTCAGTCTTCTTTGATAATATAGGCTTCTTCAGTGTATGCCTTCATATATTACGGGTAGTTGCTTGTTTAACTATAGCATATACGTAAAATTGTTTGACAAATTCCAAATAAAATGAGATGTACCACATGGATTCCATTGCTAATAGTTATTTAAAAGTTTATTTTAGAGGTATCGCTGTTTACATGTGAAATATTATAATAATATCATGAACTGACTTCAGTTAGACATCTATTAGTAACAAGAAAGTACTGGGCAACTGTTTAATCTTAGCATAGGATTTGTTAACACTGCGCATCCACGACCACACCAAACGATTGGACACAGGAACTTTGGTCTCATGAGCAAATGCATAACCTTTAGATCGCCGAACCATCGTGCAATAGTTTAAATATCAAACTTTAATTAATTGGTGATAATAGACACCCATTTTCTACTGCCTTCGGTGGGTGATAGCCTCACACTAGACGCGGTTGGCCTCTTTTAGTCACGGTCTGTTACTTTGTCATCTCAAAATTCATCACTGGTAGTGACATAAGCATCATCGACATAGGAGATTTAAAGAGATTTTAATAACAAAAAAAAACATCCTGACGAACTTTCAAATTGATTAAATATCATACCCTACTACTATTTTTTGCTCACAATGTCTCTGTCGTATATTTGTACATGAATTATACATTACAATTTATAGATTTCAGTTTAGTTCTACATCTTGTTATCTTATTTTTGAGGGTCGCTTTGACATATTTCACACATTTTAACTCATATACATAAGAAGGATTTTTATGGATATATTATAGTAATGTCAACAGTTGAGATCATGAGTCAATTGAAGCTAAATCACCTCTATGGAAAAGCTGGAAGCACTGGACGACCGTTGCGTCCTCTTGTGGAACTCCTCAGCATCAATTCAAAACTTTTGGTTAATATCATTATAAAATAAAGTTAATTCATTAAGTCATTAAAACATCAATTGGTCAGTAACTCATTTTTATTTATCCATATTTTCCTTTGAATACTTAGAAGTAATTATTGTAGGAATTACTACATAGTCAAACTGTGGAAATCTAACAATTTATTTCGCCATTTAAATAGATGATCATAAAAATGAGATAGATCTTTTCAAAAGCATTCATCAAATATTATTGTCTAATTGAGAACTAGTGAATCCTACTTATCTGTATTCTTATAAAGCTATCCACTAATAAAAATGAATGTAATCCATTAACTTCACTTGGTATTGTTTGTTTGAATCGTCCGATTGATGTTTAGGACTGTAATTAATTAATCTCTTATTGGCATATAGGCATCCTGTGCATATTGCCTCGATATTGCCTTAATTCACAAGCATTATATGTAAAGATGGATAGTTGAAGGTACTGAGTTCGAGTCCCAGAAGGAACATCAACTCTGAGGTGCAGGTACATCGAGATGACGAGTCGCAAATAGGGCTAAGTGGCAGGCGTTCTGGATTCCACTGCTAGCCACTATCCACTAACGTTTGCTAATGCGAATGAATAACATGATTCGTTCCAAACATTAATAAATGTATACAGTTATAAACGTGCTCTGTCAAAGACTATTGTAATAAAACTAATCTACTGTATCGTAGGTATTTTTCTTAGAAATTATCAGTAACTACCATACTAAATAATTTTTATCATAAGTAACGTTTTAATGACCGAATATAAATGATGTTGTTTGGTATTCAGTACGCTACATCAATTCATCAACCTTATTCATTAATTTGTAAACAAAAAATGTAATACATAAAATTACACAATAAAATATTGACCGATATACTATTGTGGTGTATGCTACTTATATCGAACTAAGTAGTATATATCACTAATCAGAAATGGAATGTCTGGTAGCAGAAGTTTGAGATCAAATATAAAAAGAACAGGAACAAAGCGTATTTATAATAGCAATAAAAGAACTATAAAGTTTGTGACAACTGATGAAGGATTTGTAAATAAAGTATTGGATATATATGGTTTTTACATTTTAAGAAAGAACTCTGTAATTTTAATATACATTGATTGTCCCCACTTGTATTATCGTTCACAACAACATCAATCCGTCCAGAGCTTCCAGGTTTTCAATGGTGGTCTAACATCAATCGGTTCATGGTCTCAACTAAAAATTTAATAGTCTCCACAACCCTATACTGATGATTACCATGTTCTCACTGGTGACTAACTTCGTGAGGGAATTCTCGGAGTTCTAGTAAGAAGCCATGACCACTGGAGCTAATTCATGTGAGGTAGAGACAGTTATCTACCTCAGTACAATGGGAGGTGGTCGCGCAATTTCATGGATTGGTTGAACTTATACATTAACTTCATTGAATGTCTAGTAACTTGAGTGCTCAGGCGCGAAACTGAAGGCCATGGGTTCGAATCCCGCGAGCGACATTGTGGATGCGCACTTCTGAGGAGTCCTAGAATAAGACGAAACGGCCGTCTAGTGCTTCCAGGTTTTCAATAGTGGTCTAGCCTCAATCGGTTCATGATCTCAATCAATAATCAATCATTTCTATCTCATTCCTGTCTGGTCTATAATTCCGAGGAAAAAATGCAAGTGATTTCCAGTGCGATGAAAAATTTTGTATAAAATCTATATTTTGTTATTTTAAAAAAATGAAAATACAAACACGCCAAAGAAAAGAAATTGTCAGGAGATCATTAAACAGAAGCAACAAACTGTTATTTAGATAAGAAAAAAAAAGAAAAGAAAAACAAATATGCAAATGTTAATTTTACTCAATAGAACTATGTCATTTCATCATTTTTCTCTCATTTTTTTCTTCTTTCTTTTTCTTGGCCTATTTATATTTACTAGAATTTAAATAATTTTTTTCTTTTTTTTCTTTTTTTCTTTTTCCTTTTTTTCCCATTAATCATTGAGCATTGTACAATTTAATTTTAGTTAATAATTACTTTATTCCATGATCAAAACTCATGAGATTCTTTTTTCTCTGTTTTTTTCTGTTTTTTTGTTTGTTTTTTTAACTTTTTACTCATTAATTATCAATTGAGTGAATGAGAGAAAAAAATTAAAAAAAGAGAAAGCAAAAAGAAAAAAACTGGCGATTTTATTTTTTTGTTTTTTTTTTCAAAAAAAAAAGAAAAAAAATAATAATTACTCTGTTCTGTGATGTCTTTTTTCTGTTTTCTTTTTTAATTACGAGTTAAGTGTTGATCATTATGGTTTAAGTTTAATTGCTCATATTTATTCATTCATTGTGTTTAGATTATTATTATTATTCTTTTAACTGAAATAAAGAAACAAAAACCGTTTCAGTAGAATATATATATAAAGAAAATAGGGAATAGAATAGTTGAAAAGAGTTAATCATTTTAATAGTTAAGATCTGAAGTCAACTGAAGCTAGATCACCAGAGAAAATCTGGAAACGCTGAATGGCTGTTTCATCCTATCGTAAGACTCCTCAGTAGTGAACATATACGATCTCATCGGCCGAAATTCGAACCCAGGATCTATCATTTTCGCGCGCGAGCGAGAAATTACTAAATTACTCACAAAAGCACTTCTTATATTAGTCAGCATATGCTCACTATTGACTGGCTTCAAGATATGTTTCCTGGAGTTCTAGTGAGTAGCAGTGACCACAGTTGTTCACCCAGGTCTGTTGTGAGATAGCAAGTACCTCACTGAAGACAATGCTGGATGTGTCGCTCAACTTCGTGGATTGGTTGAAGTTGGACATTAACACCGTTTGATGCCACTCGGCCCAGTAGTCTATAGGTTTAGTGTTCGCGCGCAAGACCGATAAATCCTGGGTTCGAATCTCACGATGTGGGATGGTTGATGTGCACTGTTGAGGAGTCCCACAATAGGACAGAACGGCCTTTCAGTGTTTGTAGGTTTTTCATGATGGTCCAGTTCCAATTGACCAATGATCTCAATGTTTGAAATTAATTGAAAATTATCAGCATGCATTTCAAATAGAACTGAGCTGTTTAAAATTCATTCATTTAAATTATGATTCGTTTTGATCATCTTCAAGTTGTTAGTATTTACATTATCATATTTATCTATATTTGAAAGTTTACCCATAGATGTTAGACTTTTGGTAAAATGAAAATATTTTTGGTAGCCTTTATTTATTCTTTTTTATTATCATAGTGTGATGATGAAGATTTCACTCCACTTATCCGTAGTTTGAAACCACATTGTATATTGTTTCTAAATATTCCAAGGTAAGTGAATCATTACCATGGTGAAAAGTTACTGATTATTATTATTTGTTATATCTCGATGCTTATATTCTTGATATACCGCGTATAACTTAAGCCCTAGAACGCTGAAACCCTTCCAAGTCGTAATGAGAAGACAGAAGACTATTGAAAGGATTGTTATTCCAGACAGTGTCAATTATAGTACAAAATTGTCAAGTATTAATAGGTTTTAGTAAGAAACGAAATCATCATTACAGTCCTCCAATCCGCATACAGGAGGTTATTAGCATTGTCCAATCGGGCAGCTACACGTAGGGATTCTAGAATATTCTTCCAAAAGGTGATTGGATGGAATATCCTCGGCTCTTTCTGAGCTTCTTACAGCTTCCTCGAGTTCACTTATGGACCGTCCTCACATTATTATTATCGTTATTATTCGTTATCAGCAATACAAAAGAAACTGACAAGAAATGTTTTTAACCTACTCTTATTTTTGAAAATAACAGTAAAACTTGGCCTTTATTATAAATCAGTAATATGGTACTCTTTGTGGAAATTGAAGATCAAGTGAATATTTATATATTATCAGTTAAAGTCTTAAATGATCAATGAACTTTATTGATCCTTTGAATTATGTAATAAGACTTTGTTTCAATATAATTTAATTTGTGATAATTAAATTTCAGTATGATGTTAGAAGATGATACTGAAGTGTTAATGACTTCAGGAAAAACACTTACTGTTAATCAGGTTATTTGGTATTAGGCCTTAAAGTGCGTAAGTTTACATAACAAGAATAGCATGAACACTTCATTTTGGAATCTATGGTTTCAATACCCCTCAGGGATTCAATTACAAAAAGTCCAATTTATAACATATATATGATAATGCAACGTATTAAGACTCCTTGCTAGAAAGTTTATGAATAATTGATAACAAGTTTACTTCTTATTTGATGAATAATAATCATTGTCAGTTCCATCTTATGAAGTAATAAGACTTACCTAATACGAAAATCAATAAAATTGTTCATTGAGTTATGTTTGTCCAAGAAGTTTCATTTGAACACATAAACAAGTGATATAAGTTCAAGAGTCCTCTAAAAGTAGGAGACGGGATGAAAACCCCATAGAGAAATGATTCTGGCATACGATTCGAAAATATTTGGTTTCTTTTATGATATGATCGTCGTTTTTTTAGCTAGTTGGTTTTCTTCGGGATGGGGTCACTAACCCCATGCTCAAGAAGAAGCGCTGCATGTGGATAGGACAAACATTGAGGAAAGCACCCAGCCGCGTTACAAGGCAAGCCCTTACATGGAATCCTCAAGACCAAAGGAGAAGAGGAGGACCAAACAACACATTACTCTGAGAAATGGAGATAGACATGAGAAAAATGAACAAAATTGGATAGAACTAGAAAAGAAGGCCCGTAACAGAGTGTGTTGGAGAATGCTGTTCGGTGGCCTATGCTCCATTGTGAGTAACAGGCGTAAGTAAGTAAGTAATGATATGATCGTCTCGAGTGATCTGTTGTATGCCTGAGTTTTATCTAATGGGTTTCGATCACGCCTCCTACATATAACAGACAGTATGTAGATCCGAGTCTTTGACACCAGTTCATGTGTTCTGAAGGAATTCTTAACACCCATATCTCTTTATTTACGGGATATGACCTAATAAACTATCTTGATAACTTTTTCAAATCTAGTGTTTATTTGAGGTTCTTCATCTCATTCAGTTTGTACTCTTCACTATCTGGCCACTGAAATATTTTGATAACCATAAAAACGCAGATTTCTACTTGCATGTTTTTATCTTATTTTCGATAGATATGGATCTGGCACCTTACCATGGGGTCAGCCAACAGAAGAATTCCAACCTCAAAGAATTGATGATGGATATATTGAAGTCATAGGTCTTACTTCGACGTCATTAGTAAGTTGAAGTACTTTTATATCCTGCCTGTTGTTGTAGCGTTGAAAAATATCAGAATATTAGAAATGCTTCTATTTTTCTCTTGTTACGCTAACATCAATCGGTTCATGATCTCAACCAAAAACTTAGTATTCTCCACAACACCATACTGATAACTACTATGTGCTCAATAGTGACTAACTTCGTTAGGGAATTCTCGGAGTTCTAGTAAGAAGCCGTGACCACTGGAGCTAATTCATGTGAGGTAGAGACAGTTATCTACATCAATACAATGGACGATGGTCGCGCGATTTCGTGGATTGGTTGAACTTAGACATTAACACCATTGGTTGTCGGCTCATTGGTTCAGTAGTTTAAGCGTTTGCGTGCGAGACTGAAGGCCCTGGGTTTGAATCTCGCAACCGGGGTCGAGGATGTGCACTTCTGAGCAGTCCCATATTAGAACGAAATGGCCGTCCAGTGCTTCCAGATTTTCAATAATGGTCTAACATCAATCGGTTCATGATCTCAATTTAAAACTTAAATTAGAATTTCGCAATGGGAATACTTTGAAACCTCTTTGACATTAAATTAATTATGGACTGTCTAATAAAATGTATCAACACAGGTTGCTAATAGCGGAATCAAACAAAATAATAAAAAATTGACATAGTGTATATCCTTGAAAACAGTGATAAAACAAGTGATGTCATGATACATCTTTCAAAATTCTTAACAATATAAGAAATAAACTTATTTAAGATCATCTTAAACAACATTGACAATCTACTGTGATTCGTTGAATTGAGTAATCAATAATTAGTCCAAAATCTGGTATTTGTTTAGCCTTTAGTCTTATTTGGTTTCTGTTAGTCATTTCAAACGTGACCACCAGTTTAAATGAACAGATAATAAATACTATTATGATTGCTACACAATGTAAATACGTGAATTTTGGTCAGTTGTGGGTTCAGTAGATCAGTGGTCATGTTAATAACTGAGACATTGAGTGACATTGTTTCGAATCCCATTCAAATTATAAGTTTCTATAAGCCTACTTACGTTATTGACAAGTCTCCATAAACACAATTTTTAGTTTCAGATGTTTCGCTTGAACAGTATCAACCATGTAGTATAGTAACTTATTTACTTGGATAACCATGGAAATACATTAAGCACTAGGTAGTTATTTTGTTACAATCACCACAAAATCCTTGTACTAATAATCATGATATGCTCACTGGTAACTAATTTTGAGATTGTTCTAGAGTTTTAGTAAGAAACTATGACCAATGCAGTTTAAAAGCATCCAGTGTGAACTAACTACCCACCAAGTACATTTGAAGACGGTTGAGCTGTATTATCGATTGGTTGAAATCGAACATGTAAACCATTTATCTCTAGCTCATTGATCTAGATATTAAATGTTCGCTGCAAGATCGAAAGATTCCATGTTCGATCCGTGGTTAGGGTAATGTATACTCAATGCTTAGAAGTCTGTTAGTTATCAACTACATATGATGAGATTGTGATTTCTAGGTTCCAAAATGAAATATTTAGTTTTATGTGGTTATTTAGTTAAAATTACTTCATGATAAAGACTAGATTATCTAACTAAAAGAAACACATTACTCAATATACATGAAGTTGAGTTACTCTTTAGAATTCATTTTCAAACATCCAATCATTTATAATATTTTGCTTAAATTACACATTGAAAATTACATTTCTTTTTTCAATGCATATATTGTTACTAGGCAACTTTACAAATAGGTGGACATGGTGATCGAATTTGTCAATGTCGTCGTGTACATCTTACAACAGATATAGTTATCCCTATGCAAATGGATGGTGAACCATGTCGTTTAATGCCATCAAAAATTGATGTATTCTGTTCACATCAAGCATTAGTCATACAAAAATTAACACGTTCACCTATCTCAGCTGTAACGCTTAACGAGTAAGTTTATTTGTGATATTTTTTTTTAAATTTAAGTAATTTTGATATTGTTGGGGACGTTAGATTTCCAGAACTCACTTGTAAAAGGACCTAATTTTGTAATTTTATTTTGAAAATTAGGTCCTTTTCCAAGTGAGTTCTGGGGGTCTAACGTCTCCAACAGATATTCATTAAAGATTATTCAGGTAATCAGTGGAAATGAACAACAATATTAATTAGAATGATAACTTACGATTTGTTTTAGTAATTAGTATCCATCATTGAAGAGATTCAACTTTATTTAATCTTAAAGACTTATAGAATTCTAAAGAGAATATTTGCATTATGATATCATAAAGCAAATGTTTTTACTCCTGGTTCAGATAGATCTTATTAGAGGTCAAGCGTTCGCACGCGAGACTGAAGGCCTTGGGATCGAATCCCACGAGCAAGAACGTGGATGTACACTGCTGAGGAGTCCCACAATGAGACGAAACGTCCATCCAGTGCTTTCAAGTTTTCAATAGTGGTCTAGTATCATTTGGTCCAGGATCTTAATCAGAAAGATCTTGCTACAATCATTATTTAATGAAAATATATTTCTTTTTTTTAAGTGAACTCGTATTTAACTCATGATACTAGTGATACATGGACTGAAATGTAAACTTGTATTGTATGAGTGGTATGAAATAGTCAATATTTCATTTACATCACTGTCATATCGTGATCTGCCAACCTTATTTTGACGATAATCAATAATTCAAATATAAATACTGTGAAACGTAGGATTCAATGAATAATTACTTACTTACGTACTGACTTACTGCTGTTCCTCCCAATGGAGCATAGGCCGCCGATCAGTAGTCTCCAATCCACTCTTTCACGGGCTTTCCTTTCTAATTCTATACTATCCTTGTTCATTCTTCTCATGTATGTTTCTATTTCTCGGCGTGATGCATTCTTTGGTCTTTCTCTTCTCCTTTAGCATTGAGGATTCCATGTAAAGGGCTTGCATTGTCATGCAGTTGGGTGCTTTCCTTAATGTGTATCCTATCCACTTCCAGAGCTTCCTGATTCCTTCCTCCACTGGAATCTGGTTTGTTCTCTCCTATAGTGGGTTGTTACCGATAGTGTCTGGCCAACGAATGAGAAGTATATTGAGTAGACAACTGTTAATAAACACATATATCTTGTATCTTGTAACTCGCTAAAAAAACGCTAACTAGAAAAAGATAATTCAATGAATAATAGAGTAGTTATGATACAGGGAAGTACCTAAATATAAACTAACTTTTTCTTTGATAAGTGAATGTTTACAGAAAAACAAACAAACAAACAAGAGTTTGCTTCAAGGTTTAAATAGAAACCATTTAGAAAACTTAGAAAAACTTATGACATGTAAAGCCACTGTCTACATTAAAGTTTCATCATATCTGTACTGATAAGTTCTCTTGATTTCGATCAGTATTTTTCTACTTATTATCTAAAAAGGGCTACAAATGAGTAGTGTTATTCTTCAGATCACTCAATGTGGTCAATACAGTCAATTTTTATGATTATGATTATTTATATTTTTATAGTGGATTAGCATAATATCGAAGGCTGGAAAAATTAGTTAGAGATAATCTATTGTGAACAATCAAGGTTTGTGAACACTAATGTTTATTATCGGTGTCAAAATATACTGAGTAATAAATTATTTCAATAAATAATTTCATAATCAGAAGGGGTTTTGTGGAGATTATAGTAATTTTAATAATTGAGGTCATGAATTAATTGAAACTAGATCACCATGGAAAACCTGGAATTACTGGACGACCGTTTGTTCCTATTGTGGGACTCCTAAGCAGTGCGCATACACGATTCCATCTCACCAGATTTGAACCCAGTACCTATCAGTCTCGCACGTGAATGGTTAATTTCCAGACCACTGAGCCGACCGGCATCGAATGATGTAAGTGTCTAAATGGGTTAGAATCTTGTGAGGTGTGATTGTGGATGCGCACTGATGAAGAGTCCCATAATACAAAGAAACGGCCGTTCAGTGCTTCCAGTTTTTCCATGGTGCTTTAGCTTCAACTGACTCATGATCTCAACTGCTGAAATTTTATAATCTAAGTAGAATAATGTGTGTGTAAAGTTTCGTAGCGAAACTCTTATTTATACCATTTCCTCGTATGCTTTGTTCGATCTATTCAATTTACTCAGCTGCTGGAAAATAGAAAAATCACACTTAACTACATGTAACTTATTTTTGTGATCGGATCAGATATGTTGACAATATAGAGGTTATGTATTTATTTTATAAATAAGTACTCATTGCGTGTATTATAGAGACATTTGTGATTAATATAAAGACACTTAACCACTCTACGATCATCAGTGCAGACTTGTGGAGATTGTGGATGTTCACTGCTGAAGAGTCTCATGCTAGGACGAAACACTGATCGGTTCACAATCTCAATATCACACTCTGATCGTTAATACACTAAATCACATTAACTTTAATTTATATTAGATAGAAGAATTCATATTATCTGGACAATTATTTACTTAGCACAAGTAATCACTAACTAGATAATTAATTCCAGTTTGAAATTTATCAGAAATTTTCATCTAAACTCGTGGAAGACAAAACTTTCAAAATTTCTGAACAAACATAACACTACTGAACCATCAAGTAGGAATTCAACAGTTATAATTTTTAATTTTTTAACGATTTTGTGACAAAACAATCACCTTCATTTTAAGATTATACAAACACTCGAACAAAGATCACAGTGTTCCCTAATCAGTGATCAATAAGTTGTAAATATATCGGTCTTACAGGAGGTTACATGACCCCTGTTTAGCTCACAGTTAATGTCTGTGATTGTGAAGCTGGGTAATACTGAGTTGAATCTTCTGTGAAGTATTCGTTCACTCAAGATTAAAGGTACATCTTGCTGAAGAGTGAGGACTAACTCAAAATTTAAGTTAGGTAAGACTACCATCTGACTATACCGTAATTGTTTAATAACTACTGCTTAGTGATAGAATTCATAATTATTTGTAAGATTTCAAACTAATTCATAATCAAATATAGTTTAATTTCATTATGGACAAATCCAAAAATTGCAGTAGTCTATATTGTCAATTAAGCTTACAGTATTGTTCTGCTCAATTTATCATTCATTATATTTATATGAAAACTAGTCAAGCAAACGGTGAAATGCCCATTATTACGTCTACAAATTACAAATGACGGAAATGCATTAACCATAACATATTATCTTAACTAAACGAATATGTTTTTTTGTAGTTGGTTAGTTGTCTCATTAAAAATCGAACAGTTCATTATTCCCTCTTTTTTTCTTGTAAAGAAAGAAATTATGAAATAATTTATTGAGATCATGAACCAATTGATGTTAGACCACCATTGAAAACATGGAAGCACTGGACGGCCGTTTCGTTTTATTGTGCGACTCCTCAGCAGTGCTCATCCACAATCCCACTAGCGGGATTCGAACCTCATACTAATAATTACCACGTTCTCACTAATCATTAACTTCGTTAGAAAATTCTCGGAGTTCTAGTGAGAAGCCGTGATCAGTGGAGCCAATCCGTGTCGGATAGAGACAGGTATCTACTTCAGTACAATAGAAGACGATCGCGCGATTTCGTGGATTGGTTGAAGTTAGACATTAACACCGTTGGATGTCGGCCGGATAAGTGGTCTAGAGGATAGGCGTTCGCGCGTGGGACTGGTAGGTCCTGGGTTCGAGTCTCTTTAAGCGGGATTTTTTTATAGGTGAGCTTTGTGAGCTAACAAAATATTTGCAGATTTTGATAGGATAATCCAGTTAATTAGCGAGTAGCTACATTTCACAGTTGCCTAACATTTAACAATAAACAAAAACAAAACATTGTCAAATCATTTAACTTTTTATAGGTTGTTTGAATCTTCTCATTGATGTTGAGGACGGAAATTGATCAGTCTCTTATCAGTATACGTGTGTAGTATGCGGACTGTCTCGATATTGCTTTAAGTCACAAGTGTTATAAGCAGAGATTGGTGTTGGCTAGCATTGAAATCCAGGACACGCGTTTCGTCCAATTTGGGACTTATCAGCTGGATGTACGTGCATCCTGTTCACTTCGGGATTCGAACCAAGTACCATTCTGTTTATATTGTTTATGAATCAAGGAATTGTCGAGGCAATATGCTAATAAGAGACTGATTAATTAAAGTTCTACACAACAATGGGAAGATACAAACAACCAATACAGAAATGAATTAAAACTTCACCCCACTGCACAAAATAGTGGCTATCTAGATTCAGTAGTTGGGTTGAGTGCCGAATTAAACATCAACTCTTAGATGCATGTAAATCCAGCTGACAAGTCCCAAATAGGATGAAACGTGCGTCTTTGATTCCACTGCTAGTCACCATACTTCTTTGCTTATAATGCATTTTCACGATGGTTATTATACTTGACAAACCGGCTTTAAATTTTTCTCCTATGAAAAACAAATACAATTCATGTAGTTGATTTATCGATCGTTTAGAGTTATAATTACTTAAGAATTGTGAAAGCTTCATGAACCAGGATAGTTTTTTAAAAAACTTATCAGTACCAAGGTCATTTTGTTAAAATAAAACAAGGTGATTTATAGATATCAATGAAAGTAGAGAACTCATTCTTTTCTAATGAAATTTTCGAATCCCACGAGCGGGATTGTGGATGCGTACTGCTGAAGAGTCCGATAGTAGGACGAAACTGCCGTCCAGTGCTTCCAGGTTTTCCATGATTGTCTAGCTTCAGTTGACACATGATATCAACCATTAAAATAATTTCTTTGAATTAATAATCTTTGAGCTCAGTGACCAACAGTATCTATAGAGAACAGAGTTAACAAATGATATACCAATAGATGTTGTTCATTTGATAGTCATTAAAGAGAAAGATAGCTGTAAGATATAATTTTATATCCCTATTATTATAGGTTTGAATGATTTTGATGTCAATAATGACAATTGAATATTGATCATTTTTTTATTACTACCTGAGCGTTTTGTAGAGATTGATTGAGTGTGATGATTTTGTCACTAGTTATTATAGTATAGATGGATTATACTTACTTACTTATTTACTTACGTCTGTCACTCCCAATGGAGCATAGGACGCCAACCAGCATTCTCCAACACACGCTGCCTTAGGCCTTCCTTTCTAGTTCTGTCCTATCGTTGTTCATTCTTCTCATGTTTGTCTCCATTTTTGAACCTACTGGATTATAATTGATAATGAAATCCAGCATGTGTCACTGTCCCTTATTCGAAACTAGTCAGCTGGAGTCCTCAAACGCCCTGGTACGGCCGAGAGTGGGGAGAGTCACAGCTCCATCTCTCGAAATGCTCTCACATGACTACGCGTATATGGCCTCTGCCAGGGAAGTCCTACTCATTGCCTTCTTGTGGCGGGGGTGTTGTCTACGAAATCGAGAAGAGAAAAAGCGAATATCTGGTGCTTTAATCGGGTTGGTGGATAGGAATGATCCATCTAAGGGAGTTCGAAAACCGTCATTCCAAACCAATCACGCACATGGGTTACAGGATCCTGAAGGAACAAATGGCATATGAACCAGTCGCTGGTCACAGGTTACCATGGGATTGAATCTCTTTACGATGCTCCACTGCATTGTGGATCAGACCTTTATGTCAAAGGCTCCGGGTGTGGCCCCCTAAGAAAACCACCTGCTTCAGTTTGGGTACCCGGACAGTATCACAGCCCTCACACAAACCAAATGTGATTTGTGTGGCGCATATGTATTTGGTGCCCCCTTGTACCAATATTTATGTATTCAAATAAATAAATAAATCAGCTCCAAATATTTGGATACTAACGTTCATATTCACAATGATCTTATCACTGAAAACTGTTTATTCTGTGAAATATTCTCTAAAATTGTTTCAAATAAAGAAAAAGCGATTATTACATATTCCCTACTTTGATACATTTCTCATATTATTTATAATAGAATAAAGGTTGTATACTTTGATCTAAGTTTATCCTACATGGCAATATATATATATCTATAATTGATTCAACATGAATAATTATTTCTGATCATAATAAATTTAAAATCCATAAAATTGTTTTCTATCACTGTGGTAATAATAATAATAATGACAACAACAGTAAACTCATATTGTTCTCTTTTCTTTTATCTCTTCAATTCTGTTCATATTTAATTACCTAAAAATTGGTATTAATAATAATAATAATAATAATAATAATAATAATAACTTGATTAAACGTTAATTGGCTTCATTGTTTTGAACTGCTTGTGTTTACTTTTTCCCAATATTGATCAACTCTTCTGCTCTGATATAAATTACTCAATGATTTCCGTTTATTTATTTATTTGTTTTTTTGTTTTTCCTACCTGTAAAACGTTTCTGCGTGGGCGTGTTTCTGTATTAATTTGTTTATTTGTTCACGATTATTACATTGTTTGCTTTACCCTGTGTGTGCGTGTGTGTGTATGTGCGCGTGTGCGCGTGTGCGTGCGTGCGCTTTTCTAATAATCACTTTAATTAATATGAAATATGATTATATGATATGGGGAAATATAATTTGATTTACTCTGGTGTATTTTTGTGTTTTTTTCGCGCGCGGGGGGTGTTTTTAAAAATAATTGAACCGGTGCTTATATATATATATATATAACATGTAATAATAATTATTAATAATTAAAGATTTTGCGGTCATTGTAATTGTTTTGCTTAACATCACCATATTGTTAGATTATGGATCATATCATCATTGATTTGTCACAGCTGATTCATCATTATTATTTCTTCTTTTTTTTCGGTATTATCTTTCAATCATTGAATATTTACTTCACTATTATTGTTTTGTTTTGTTTTATGATTATGATTACCTAATTAAAATAATTATTCATTTAATTAAGATTTATTGTTACCATCTATATCGATCATAAAAAGATGACATTCTACTGTGAGATGTTGCAATTTGTTTTCGGTTGTTTATTTCTTGTATAAAGAAAAACTATCATGAGGGTTAACAGGTATTTATGTTCTCCCTCTCTCTCTCTCTCTCTCACTTTGTCCCTCAATCTGCATTAAGTATCTTTAAGTTTCAAGTCTTTGTATATTACTGTTGAGCTGATCATATTATTATCGAACGGGAAGAGGAGAAATCTGTAGTTCGTTAATTTCGCATATACAAATGTATATAGGTAGATAGATAGATAATAGAACGTTCTGGTTCCTATGTCCCTCTTGTTATACAAATGACTATGTATTTTGATTTTCTTAAACAATTTCCTTACAATCAGTAACATCTTTAATCATTATCATCTTCTGTAATTAAAGTTTTTAATACTTAATTATTATATAAATTAGAACACAATCAATATGAAAGGTAAAGTTGGTATGTTTGTTCGTTTTTTGTCATTGTCATTACATCGTTTGTTATTTTCTCTAAATAGCTCAATTCATTGATTGAATTGGTTTACATTATTTCAAATCTGTACATTTGTGTATTACTGATACTAATTATAAAATGGTTTAGATGAACACTAATTGATAGTTGATTATGGTTTTTTTTCTTTTTTTTTCTTTTCTTTTTTTTGTATTTTACATTTTAATCTTGTAAATTTCTACTTCAATTTGTTGTACATCTTTCTTCTTTTTTCTTGTTTTGTTTTGTTTTTCTTTTTGATTGTTTGTTTATATGATTTATTATCTTATTTTGTATTTATCTATTTTTGTTTATAAATAGATGATATCAATTTTGTATATTGAATAGTCGCTTACTTTATATGGGTAGAATATATTGTATAAACGAAACAAATATCATCATAATTAGACAGGAGTTTTGTGGAGATTGTAGTGATTTAATCATTGAATTTATGAGTCAATTGAAGCTAGATCACCATGAAAAACATGGAAGCATTGAACGGCCGTCTCATCCTAAGCAGTGCTCATCCATAATCCTACCCCTCGAGATTTCAACCCAGGACCTATAAGTATTGCGCGCGAACGCTTGACCTCTAGACCATTGAGCCGGTTGACATCCAACGATGTTAATATCTAACTTCAACTAATCCATAAAATTGAGCGACACATCCATCATTGCCCACAGTGAGGTACTTACTATCTCACAACAGACCTGGTTGAATTTCACTGGTCACTGATTCTCACTAGAACTCCAAGAAATAACTATTGGAGACAGTCACTAGTGAGCATATGATGATTATAATCAGAGAGAGGTTTTTGTGGATTTGCAAATAGTCATTTACACTTAAAAACAATACTATAATTTGTAACTGAATGAATAATAACTAAGTATAATAAACATTCAACCTAATTGATCAATGCTTTGTAATCATTTGTAAACAACAACAACAACAGCAACAAAAAGCACTTGTCAATTACCATATGAATTTGTTTGTTAAACTAATAAGTGAATCATTAACCAATAAACAATAATCCTTATTTTGGAATATTTACATTTAACCAGTTTCAATGACATTTTTAGCCTTAACTACTAAATTTTATCAGTTTAGGGGCTGTGGAGATACTTAAATTTTTGATTGAGATCATGAACCGATTGATGTTAGACCACCATTGAAAACCTGGAAGTATTGGACGCCGTTTCGTCCAATCAAATTCATTCTATTTAAAATGTAGTCTAAACATTTCACAATTGTAGAAATATTAACGTAGTTGTTTAACACTTGCATTTCTTATACTACTGTTATAGATATTAACTATAGTTTGCTTATTATTGAGTAATATATGAATCAAGTAAATGATTATAGATTTTCGTTTGTTTGTTTGATTTTATTTTTGTAGAGATGGAAATCATCTACAATGGAAAACGATTGGTGGTTATGAAACAAGAATAAATGTATTTGTGATTGCTTTAAAAGATTATAATGAAATGTCCGATGATGTAATCAGTTTACGTCAAACTGGTAAGCATAATAGTTTATTAATTAATAATGATTACTATCAGAATAGGTTTTGCGGAGACTTTAGAAATTTCACTGATTGAAATCACCTGCTCACTAGTGACTGACTTCAGGAGATACTCCTGAAGTTCTAGTGAGAAGTCGTTACCAGTGGAGTTCAACCAGGTCTGTTGTGAGATAGGAACTCACTGAAGACAATAGTGTACGGTGGCGCAACTTCATGGATTGGTTGAAGTTAGACATTAACACAGTTGGATGCCGGCTCAGTGGTCTAGTTGATTAAGCGCTTGGCGCAAGACCAATAGGTTGTGGGTTCGAATCTCGTGGGGTGGGGGGATCGTGGATGCGCACTGCTGAGGAGTCCCATACTAGGAAGAGACGGCCGTCCAGTGCTTCCAGGTTTTCCATGGTGGTCTAGCTTCAATTGACTCATGATTTCAACCAGTGATAGTAAAGTTTAGTTATCATTGAATAACCTCATTCAAGTCATTATCAATGTACTAAGTGCATCTTAAACAGTTAATATCAGTTCAAGAAATCAGCTATATGTGTGTTTAGCCGGTGATATAAACTGCACTTGTTTGTAAAGATCTCAATAAAACATATTCTAGACGATCGATTGTGTATACTAGTATTTTGTATACTATATTAAATATCTAACTTGGAGAATACAATTAGACCTGACGCTTAAAAGTCATATTAACATACACTTTTTGTCAGATTTACCAATACCATTACTTTTTATTGAAATTATGAACTGTTCAAAATTAGAACACCATTGAAAACCTGGAAAGAGTGAACAGACGTCTCAACTTAATATGGGACTCCTCAGAAGTGTCTAATTGCAATCCTGTAGACGGCAATCAAACCTAAGACCTACAGTTTTCCTCGAGCGCCTAACCTTTAGACCACTGAGCCGGCACCAAACAGTGGTAATTTTTAATCTTAATCAATTCAAGACTCTATGCTACCATCTTCCGTTGTCTTCGGTGGATAACTGATTCAAAGTTTATGCATTTGAACTCCACTGGTTACAACTTCTCACCGGAACTACGAGAATCATCCGTGGAAGCTATTCACTAGTGAACACATAATAACTAACAGTATCGGATTGCAGAGATAGCTGAGTTTTATTAAGATCATGAACCAATCAATATTAGATTACTAATGAAAATCTGGAAGCATTGTATGGCCATTTCGTCCTAGTATGAGACTTCGCAGCAATGCGTACCAACCACCATGGTTCCAATAAAACTCAACAATCTCCACAACCCTATACTTACAATTACTTTTGATAAAGTTTGAGTATTGATTTCCTACAATATTTGACTTTGAAACAGACTGTTAGGTACTTTCTTATTTATAAAAATACACGTGTTACGTATATCTGAACGCTGATTACCACGACAAGCAATACTGACTAGTGTTGGAGACGGCTGGAACAAAGTTAGAGACGGCCAAACCAACCAAAACGTGGAATCAGTTCTTGAAGTCACTGACTTCTAGTCTGAGACATGTTGGTAGATGCAGATTACTTTTTTAGGGTCCGTGTGACTATCGTAACTAATGGTTAGAGACTTCGGGTGACGTGTCTCAGAATCGATCACAATGATGTAGGTGTATACACTTTCTATCTTCCCTTAAAATATGAGATTAAAATCGATTCATATCTTTCTTTCTATGAACTAATTCTTTCTTCCTGTACTATATCCTTATATGCAATCATTCTTTTATATGCTACTACCACCACCGAATTAACTACTCCCATGAATTCAGTGTTGATCTTGTTGCGTTAATAAAGTATGGCAACTTTAACCGATGTATATATCTGTGTCTGGTCCTACGTTGTAACTGACTGACGGAATAAAGATACATATTGACGAGTGTACTTACACAGATATACCAAACCTGTAATTGATGTTTCCAACTTTAAAATTAATGAATAGTTTTATCGTTACAAAAAATAATTATTCGTATTCTTTTCTTTTTATACAAAATCTCTTTCAAATCTGTTACGTCTTTTCTTTCTTCTTTTTTAAAGCTGTATGGATCGGTATTATTACTGCAAAATATGATACAGACTTAGCAACTGTAAGAAAACTTATTACTCAATTAAATAATGATAATGCTCAAGAGAATTTATACAATGAAAACTCTGAATCCATAGAAACTAATCTAAAAATTCGAGTTCATTTATCGGATTCTTGGGTTTTTATTGATTGTAAGTAATTGATTGTATTATACACTTTATTTTTATTGTTGTTAATATTAAAAAGAATTTTGTGGATATTATTAGTAATGTCAATAGTTGAGATCATGAGTCAATTAAAGCTAGACTACCATTATGAAAACCTGAAAGTGCTGGATGGCCGTTTCGTCTTATTGTGGCACTCCTCAGTAGTACGCATCTACGATCTCTCCTCGCGAGATTCGAACCCAAGATCTATCGATCTCGCGCGCGAACGCTCACCCATTGTTAATATTGTTACATTCTATGATGTTTTTTACTTTTCATACAGTTTATAGCAGCTCATGTGCAATTGAGTTTGTTCATATTTCATTTGGCTAAGCCTTTTTTGTTAACTTATTTAACGAATAGAGTAGTCATTCGTACAATAACAACTTATATCATTGTACCTTTATTATTGTTACACTTGTATGAATATATACACTTGAGTATTGCTTACTGCCTACGCATATATTCATTTGGCTAGCATTATTATTAGTCGTTCAATTGATTCGATTATTCATTCGTTTCCCTAGGTATATATATGTACATTTTAATCCT